TTTTAAATATTTTACATATCATTTAAAATTTTAAATAACAAAATATTTAACATGACAATTTTTAAATAGTTAAAATAACAAAATTATGTAATAAATTTAAACTTTTTCTTAAAAGTAGAAAAATAATTATAATATATTTCACAATATTTAATAATAATTCAGTACTTTACAAAATTAATAACAAATTTTTTAATAATAGTACTAATTATAATTTTACAGATTATTAAATTCAATAAATAATTAATATTTTAAAATTTTAAATAACAATATTATTTAAATAAATAAATAATATTGTAAATAACTAACTGCACTTATATAAATTAATAATTATAGAAAATAACTTTCAAAAAATTAATATTTATTAGTAATAATTTTACAATAATAGTGTATATTCATTATATATTTATATATACTGAAATTAATATTTATTTTACTTTTAGTAATTATTTATTTTATTTTTTGAAAAATATGTTTTCAATATTTTCTATAAATTTATTTTTATTAATTATGCATTTTTTAATTTATTGATTAATATTTATTAAAGACTAAACTATTATCTGAGATTACACTATTTATTGACTAATTTAATATATTTTTAGTATTGTATTTTTATAATTATTATATTTTATTAGATATCTATTGCATTTTTGTTATAAATTTATTTCAATAATTGTGTATTTATGGTATAAATTTTCAATAATTATTGGAGATTAAATTATTGTTATTTATTAGAGATTTGACTATTAATTTAGCTGAAATTTGGAGTATTCAAGGATTGGTTCAATTCAATTACAGGTTGTTTGGCCAACCAAATCAACATGGTCAGGTCGGGAGTTTGTCATTGAAACCAATTGACCATTAGTGAAAAACCCGCCAACTTGGGTTGTATTGGTTTGAGTCTATTTTTGGTTTGCTTTGTTTTTTCAAAAGATTTAAACTTAAAAAATAAATTTAAATCTAATAAATTATAGTGGTATTATTAAAAAATAAATTTATGATATAAATTATTTTTGATTAAGAAATATGGGAATTTTACCACTTCTTCATATTAAATAATTATATTTAAAATATAATATATATATATATAAATGGTCGGGTCATTCAGTTTTGGTCAATTTACAAATAGCCAAACCGAAACTAACCTAACTTGGTCGGGTTGAAAAATTACTAAACCGAAATCGATCGGAAATACTAGAAAACCGACCAACTCAAGTTGAGTTCGATCGGATTGGTTATTAAAAAATTAAAACATAAAACAATTATATACTCTTATATATTTCTATTGTTTAACTTTCACTTAAAAGAGCTCGTGCACCACACGAGTCCCCACTAGTACTATATTATATAGTGACATAGGCCACATCAGCAGCTCTCTCCTTCTCCAATTCCCCCTTCTCTCATTTTTCCTTAACCTCTCTCCTTTCTCTCTTACTCCTTCCCAGCTCTCTCATTAACTCTCTTTCCTCACCTTCCCTTACCCAGCCCTTCCATTATGCCATGTCATCATGCCTATCAACCAATCTTAAAGATTCTAAATCATTAAATAAAATGAAGCTTGCTAAAACGTAACTACATACGGTGAAAGGTTTCCTTCTCCTTCCCTCTCCCAAACTCAAACTCCTCTATTCAACATCCCACATATCTTGTTTCCCAATCTTTTTCTCTTCTCTGTTTCAAAGTTCTTCCTCACTATTCATACTGTGTGTGTGTGAAATTTTCTATCTTGGGTAGTTATCAGCTGTTGATAATGCCCTCTGCAACTACCCATTACTCAAACCCATTTTGAAACAAACGGGTAAGGAAGACTGCATAAGCGGGTCCATGTAACATCTTTTCAACTTTTTTCTACACTTGGAGGGCCAGATCAACCTGACCCGTGATTCTTAATCTGCTTATTTAAATAATTAAATAGTTAGACTATTACTACAAAACGGGTCTTAAATGACCCGCTATTATCACCCCGACCATTTAATAAAACCCATTAGCAGCATACTCCATACAGTAACTTTACTTTATTGCAAAAAGAAATATATATATATATATATATATATATATACAAGGCAACTTTGTTATTTAAGTTGAAATAATAATCTAAAAAAACATTAAGTTAGACTTCATCAGTTAGTTTGACCTTAACTTCATTAATTCAAAATATGACCATAAAAGCAAAATACATTATTGTAGTTAACGTAATTTGGTTAAGTTAAAAGTTGACACTCGATTCACTTCATTAACATTAAGTTAGATATTAATTCACGTAAACAATTGATGCACATGAGAAGTATAATTAATACGTTAATGCAATTAGGATAATTTGGTTAACACGATTTATAACTAAATTAGTTTTAAGAAGCCCAAATTAATTTAACTAAATTAATTAATATTGTTCAATAACTCATTCACTTAAGGGAATTAGTTAATTAATGTATAGTTAAGTTTGGTGTCCTTCATTCAATTAATTAATTTAGATGATATAAATTTGGGTAAATTAATTAAATTTAGATATGTAGTTAATTTAAATTGATTTATCCGAATGGGTTAGTTTTTTGGGTAGAAATACCCGGGTCAAGTACATAAACTAAATTTATTAATTCTATTTAACTTAGGCATAGTTAAATAATAGGTATAGTTAAGTGATTTACTTAATTCGTTAAGTAAAAGTTATAGTTAATTAAATCAATTAATGTAGTTGAAAATTCATTCAATTAAGTGAATTACTTAATTTATTAATTAGTAAACTAATGGAACCAATTTCACATTAATGACACAAACAAAATATATAACTAAAATATGGAATATTTATTAAACACAATGCATTGTTAAAAATTATTTATATGAATTAATTATTTATATTTGTCATTTTAGATTTACATTTCTTCCTTTGCTTACTTAATTAGATGCATTTGTTAAAGTTCTAAGTTTGGTAATACCTGATAGACATGGATCATTTTATGATTAATATTAAGGGAAAGGGAAAAATATGCAATTACAAAAAAAGAAGTACATGCCATATATTGGCTCGAACAATTAAGAAAATTAAGATAGTTCTCCAATGAAACTTTGATGTTTTTTGACGATTGATTGAGATTAACCTGAAACTTTGAGGATCGGGAATGGGGAATGGTGTTTGTCCACCCCGCCCTGTTCTAGGTAGATTTAAAAAAAAAAAAAATTTACAAGTTGAGTGACCAAGGCGGGGTGAAGCAAATTTGGGGATTTCCATTCCCCACAGGAATGGGGATGGGGTTGAAAATTTTATCCCTGCTAAAATACAGGGCAAGTTATTTGAGTTCGAAATCGATAACGAGGCATGCAAAGTCCAACTCCACCCCCCATTGCCATTCCTACATGGAACTCTTTCTGGTTTCTGCTTCAATATAGTGTCGTTATCCCCTGCGATTGTGTCCTAAGTATAGTATAGTGTATGACTTAGGCTTTGTAACAAAGAAAAAAAGGATGAATTTTTGTCACAGATTACAATTACAAAGTACAACAGTAAGCTGCCTGGGGAAACCTCACTACAGACACGTCGGGATCTGGGACAAATTTGTCTGCAGTGTATTCTGAGTTCTGTCACCGTCTCCAAGCTGTCTGTAGCGTGGTCGCTATTTATCCGGCAGCAGTTACTTGCTGTTACTCCATTTATAAATCTTATAATTAATATTAGTAATTAAAAGGGTCATTTACTTACGCACCACTTACAGTTTTATTGTTCAACCCTTTAGTTTTGCGTTTTACAAAAACACCTTTGCAATTATTCAACCCTCCGACAAAAACATTTGTATTTTCATTTGATCACTTGACCTATTAAAGACAGTGGAAAATGCTAAAGGGCATGGACTCAAAATTTTTTATTCCGAAAAAAAAAAACCCTAAAAGTTCTTATCACATGTAGTCCACCCATTTTCCAAACAAAAGTTATAATGTTGGGATTTGGGAGAGAATTTATTTGTTTTATAAAAGGTTGCTAAGGAAATTTTTAGGGCTATTTTTAGAATGAGAACATTAGACCAACGCCTTTCATATTTTTGGTATGCCTTAAAGGTTGTGTTTGGTTTGAAGGAAAAAGAACGGAAAGGAAAGGCAGGAAAACTTTTACAAACCATCTATAAGTTTTCCTATCTTTTCCTTCATTTCCCTAATTTTTCTTTCAAACCAAACATAGCCTAAGGGTTTCTTGTGGCCAATAAAAATTGATCTTGATGGAGGGTCAATTAAGTAAAACAAATATAAACTATAAGAGTGTTTAAATAATATGCAATATAAAAGATAGGTTTTAGTAAGTACATGAACCTTGTCTAAATAAATGACTCTAGTAAAAACAACAATTACCCACTTGGGACCTGCATGGATACTCGGACCATGAATTACTTGGTCCAGCCAGCCCGACTTTCCACTGAACCTATGGTGGAACCAGTCCAGGCCGTGACAAAAAAAACTCCAGGCCCATTTGCTAACTCCACTCTAAATTCATGAACCACTCCCAGTTTCTACCTTGTCACCTCCCATATATTGAACGGCATGAGACTCTCTATGTTGTACAGCAAGCAGCTTTTCTTGGGTGTTTGTTCTTCCATCTTGCTACCCCACGGATCCGTTTACCTTGTCCACATCTCACCCTCCTTGAATTACCCCTCACATGGACTGTAACTCTGTAAGAATAAGAATTATGCTGCAACTATTTAATTTTTAGGTTGTTTTTGGTTGCAGTGCAATTTTATTTGCACTAGTACAAAGACTTGGGTGTGCAAATGAAAATAATGCAAATTCTGGTTTAATTTGGTTTTACTGTGTTCTGCTTCAGGTCTTATTTACTTTATTTGTATTGCAATCAAACAAAATAAGGTAAATTTTGAAATAAAAATAAAACAGAAACCATTTTCACTATCATGATTTTGCATCAGTGCAAATAAGCGGCGGCTATGCAAATAGAGAAGGAGGGAGTAAGCGGCGGCTATGCAAATAGAGATTGGACATCAAACAAGAGTCACGCATCTGTGTTCAGAGCAACCAATCATTCGATCGGGAGGCTATTATATTCCAATCACCTGGCCAGTGTCAACTATATATGAAGGTCTTTGTGTCTTGAGCGTCTTGGATTACACACACAATTGACATTACTGAACTCAAAGTTTTTCTGTTACCTTGAAAAGCTCTCTGTACTATAAACAATTCTGCTCCATGATCAGATTTGAGGTACCAAGAACTTTGCCCAAAAAAAACTCCCTTTTTGAGAGACATGAATTCCACTTCTACAGGTTCAAATCTTTGTTTGGATGACTCATCCCTAGCTGCAACAAAAACAACCCGTGTTAGAGCGTGTTATCTGTATATGCATCCAAAAGACCCAATTGCTGAATATTGTGTATGCATGGTACCTCTCCATCAGAATGACTACTGTGTGGTATCGTAGCCTTAGCTATGATGGGCAGATCAATGTCAGCCACATACCCCATGTTTGAAAGAATTTCGACTTCATATAATTCTATGAGCGCAGAAGCATTCTGCAAGATGAAGATATATAGAAAAAGCCATTGCAAGAACCAACCACCATCAACTAGCTAAACTGCAAATCATATCCACTGTACCTCTCTCTAGCTCTCCCCACGGTGCCACTTCTCTATAAATTCCTTCATTTAACGAGATGGAACTTTCTTTTCATATTACTCGACATCATGACTGATCCATATTTATACCACACCCACCCGCCCAAAGAGAAAATGGAGAATTACACCAACGCCCAAGACCTCCAATTGTTATTGCTCCAACTCAAGCAGAGACATAAAGGAGAAGAGCCCTACCACTTGGTGTTCTTGTTCCTACACTTCAATAACCATTTAATCAACACCAGATGGCCATACAGTCCCCTCGCAATGATGGCCTAACAAATACAATGATCTAGCTCTGGGCCAAATTTTATTTTGTTGTCATGTGCTCAGGTTCTCTGATCTTTGTTTGAACTATAGGAAGAAGGTGATTGGTTCATTTAGAGACTATTAAGATATATCAAAAGCCTCATAAAATAAAGCAACACAGAGCAAAAGCAAGACAGGGATGAGAAGTTAATTACTACAATCGACTTCAATATATTGTTTTGTTTTGACATCACAAGGTGTTATTAGAAAGTGAAGTATGCAATGGAGCAAAACTGGTTTGAACTTTACGGGTAATAACCGTTAACTGTGAGGTTGGGGTGAATTAAGAAGCAATAATACCATCGTTTGTACGTACCCACTTGTGTTTTTTTTTTTTTTTACCGAAAACACTAAAAAGGAAGAAGAGGGAAGAAAAAAGAGAATATCAGAATATGATCAGACCATCTCCAATCCCACACACAGCTCACAGCTTCTTGCTCTTCCAGCTCAGGAAAAGCAACCAAAAGCTGAAACCACTGCTGACCCCCATGGCCATTAATGGACAAACCAGTGAGGGTCCACTGCTTTCTATTTTTCTACTTTCGTCCGCCAAAATTAAAGAAGGAAATGTAACCGTATCACTTCGATTTGATTTCTTTGATTGACAATTTTCCTTTTTCTCCCTTGAATTCTTCTTCAGAGAAAAAAATAAAGAACAGTTTGATTTCGTGTCATCTAATGTTCATTTTTCCATTAATGGTCTTCCTATTTTTTTTCTTATATTCAACAATTTATTGAAGATAGCAAGTTAAACAAAGATAATATGGAAATAATCAAATTTAAAGAACTTTGCATGAAGTTGAGGAAGAAAGAGTTAAAATACATTTTATTTGCAATGCTACTGTAGTTAAGAAAAATACAATACAATTTACAGAAAATGAAGTAAATTTTGCAATGGATATATAAAACAATTCCAAAAGTAAAAGCTGCTGAATACGAGTAAGAACCCGATCTGAATGGTCTTCGGATCCCGAGATACCAAAAAGATTAAAAAAAAAGAAAAAGAAATCGTGAGGAGTGAAGCAACAAAAAAGATCTAGGGTTTCACAGTTTGGCTTCCTCAGAAGAGCTAGAGCTATGGCTTATATGGCTTGTACATGATGTTTGTTTAAATGAAAAGAATCTGCAGAATAGAAACACTAAAACTAACCAGAAGATCCTTTCTTATTTTTTTACTGTAATAGAGAAAATTAGATCTGGTTCAAATCTAAACAAGGAGAACGTTTTTACAGTCAAAATGCAGCATGCTTATGATATCCTGAACCAGATCTAGCTTTTCCTCGCTCGAATTCTAGCAAAGCAGAGAGATAAGTGATCGTTACCTCGTGAAGATGGGATCTTGGAGAGGGGAGGAGAACGCGGAGGAAATTAACAAAATCTTTTCATGTTTTCCCACAGCTTTCTTGAGCTTTGTACTGAGATGTGGTCGATGTACTTTGCTTTCATTTGCTTGAGACATAGAGAGAGAGAGAGAGAGAGAGAGAAACCGACCTGAGTACTAAGTTCAAGAAAGCCGTGGAAAAGCATGTAGGATCTTACTGATCTTATTTTTCGGATCTCCTTGTTTCTCTCTTCATCCACTCTTTTCTTTTATCTTCTTCGAACTGAAATCTCTGGGAAGAACAAGCAACAAGTAAATTAAGGAAAGAAAACAAGTAAGAAATGTATTTAAACCAAGGAAAGAAATGGTTGTAAGAGAAGAAAAATTGTAGAATTATAGCAAAAATCAGGGTGAGGGGAGATGAGAGGCAAAGGAGCAAAACAGTGCAACAAATGTTAATTTCCGAGTTTAAACAATCGAAAACCCAAAACCGGCGTATCAGAAGATCAAGAGTGGAGATGAGAGAGAACCGCAGCAGCCCAGCAAAAAGGTTAAACATGCCCGGAAAATTGTCATTAGAACATAAAAAGTAAATCCAGAAATGAGAAGAAATCAGCCATGGAAATCAATTTATATGACGAGGGAAATATATTTCAGAAAAATTGGAGCGAAAAAAAAAACAAAACGTAAAGAAACGAGGCAGCAGAGTAAACAAAAATGGAAAGAAAAAAATAGCTGTTAACATTATTAGGTAGCCTAAGCTCTCGACAAAGCAAGAGCCTTTAAATAAAGATGAGAAAGGGTGGAAAAGAGGAAATGAGCAAGAAGACGACGAAGAGAGAAAGAGAGAGAGAGTAATTCAGCTGCTCGCTCCACCTTTGGTTCATGGCTCTTAACTACATGATTCTTCAGTGCTGAGCTTACCACACGTGTGACAATCGAATAAAATGACACCACGTGTCGTAGGCCGTAATCGGCGGTTCCCGAGGGAGATAGATGAATCATGAAATATTATTTAATAAACCGATAATGAAGTGGATCGATGATTCAACGACCGCGCTCTCATGGAATAAATCAGGTGCGCTCTTTCGTCTACCATCACTCCAGTGGAACTGGAAGGTTGTATACTTGGTATTTTTTTGTCTTTAATCCAATAGATAATAAACACGTAGAAGTACACCAATGAGAGCGCGCTCATTGGATCACCACTGTAACGAAGTGGGAACCGGTCGGATTGGACCGGGAGGTGTCAGAGTGCGCTCCGTGGGAGGCGGTGGGCGAAGAACAAGGGGGAGGGGGAGAGGGAGACAAGATAGAAGCACAAAAGAATAGGAGGGAGGGGGGAGGTCGATGAGTAATCGTTTTCAAATCTGTTGCTTGGAGTGACCTGCGCACCAATTTCCCATCATTCCGGCCTGTGCGCCGGGTTATGCGCCGACGATTCTCCTCCGCCAACTCGGTTGGTCTGAGATGGATGAATCATGAATGCGTATCGGAGGATGTCAGGATGGTGTTTCAACTTTCAATCTGAAGGGGAGAGAGAGGGCCAGAGCCCAGAGGGGTTGATCAGCATCAGGCTCCCCAGTTTCCATGGGTGATCGGTCCCTAGACGGCTAGACCCTCCCTACTAGTCTAGTCTACTACTAATAGTGGGACCCACAGCGCCACCACCACCACCACCACCAGGTCCAGGTCCCCCTCGTCTCTCGGCCACTGACGCCACCATCTCTCTCTCTCTCTCTCATCCTCCTGACATTTTGTTTTGTCTCCGACGAATAAAATAAGCAAGGCTTTTTATCGGGTGGTGGGAATCCCCACTACGATAGGCCAGCTGGGAGGGTACTAAGGCACCGAGAATTGGCCCTTGAACGCAGACAGGTTTGCTGTCGCCACTCGCCAGCGGCACTCTCTGGCTCCCGAAATGTGCTGGACACCATCCCATCCTGTCTCCATTAATCACCCACCCCGCATAATAAGGCCTAAGGGGAGAGTTTTACTTGCTGCAGCCTGTGCCCTATAGCCTGTAGGGGGATTTTCTCTGCACTGCTTCTTCACCACTTATTGGATAATTTTTGCAAATCACAGTAACACTTACTACTAATTACCTAATCCTGGAATTCGACCAGGATCCAGCAAAGATTAATTAATTGCTCAATCAAATACGGGTCGCTTTTGAACTTGTCTCTCAGATTTTGGAGAGTGTTTGAAAGGAGATTTTACTTTGAAACACATTAAATTTTGAGACCCGGCCAAGGACGATATGGCTGAACTCGCCACGAGCTACCCCTTCTCGATCGTTTACAAGGAGGTAGTACCGGACCGGCCGGCCCTCCTTGGCTTTTCTACATGATATAATACGTAATCATCTCACATGCACAATGTATGTCTGCTAAATGGAAATATGGAGCAATGCTGGTACCGGACCTAAACTTAAAGCCTCTAAAGGTAGCTCCTGATTCAGAAGAAGACAAAAGCTGTCTAGGCGCCCTTCTTTCGGTATCGTCCACAAACCACATGCGTTCAAGAATCTTACATCCAATTCAGCATCTCACGTCAAACAAAATACATGACGCATTAAGACATGCAGCCTCAGTATAATTTCTAATATGTTCCACAGAGTAACAGGCTATAAATAGAAATCTATGATTTTACTTTGAAATTAAGCAAGACAAGCACTAGAAATCTTTCTCTCTTTTTTTTTTCGATCGAAAACATAGATTTCAACATCGACCATCCTGATTTTGGTAACTGATCATTTTATGAGATATTGGGTTTTTTTTTTCTCAGCACTTTAATTATATATTCCTTATTATTTTGAAGATGGCATCCTGCTAAGGCAGTAGAGCTGGTTAAGGGTTCGTACCACGGACGTCGATTCAAATGTTCCCCACCTGCAAAACAACTTATTGATGAATTTGTAAGAAAAAGAAAAGAAAAATCAAAATCAAAATTTTCATCTCATTATCCTTGAAAATGCAATTGCGTTCACACTTCTAACAATCTTACATCACCAAGGATCATCAGTGAAACAAAATAACGAGAAAGAGGTAGGGTAAGGAAAGCAAGGTGCAGTTTAGGTAAATTTTTATTTTGAAGTATTTTCATACTTTTGAAACTATAAAAAATATATGGTTGTGTTTGTTTAGCATGATTTTTTTCATTTTTGAGTAACATAGAATGATAGAAAAGCACAAAACTGGATTTTATTATTTCATACCTTTGAGCCTTTGAAATATTTTATAATTTAAAACATGTACGTAAACTAAGGTGCTGTTCAGTACTGTTTATATCTCGTGGATGGACCATTTCGATCCACGCCACGAGATGAAAGTAGCATTCAGTTCATTGTGGACAGGACCGGTCCACATTATCTTGTGGACCAGTCCAATCCACACCCTAATTTCTCGGCAACAGCTTCTTCTCATTGATGATTTATTCCACAGGTTGTCTTTGATAATGTGTTCCACGCACAGTATCTATAACCCTATATCTTGTTCAAGGTCTCCTCCACCAAACCCCTGTTACTATGCTCCACCAACGCCATCCAAGTTCCAAGTTCTTCACCAAAGGTAAGACCCTTATTGCATCCTTTTTTAATCTTTAACAACATCCTCTTTTTTTTTTCTCTTCATCGAACCACTGCATTGCTTTCCTGTTTTTTTATTGGTTTTTTTGTTTCTTTCTAGGTATTGTGTTGGTGGGTTGGTGATCACAATCTCCAACTCTGAGCTTCAGCATGTGTGTTCTTTAGTTTTGGTTTGTCCACAAATCCAACCATAAGGTCCATAACCATCAGTAACAGTGGTCATCAATCCAACCATAGGTCTAGGTCATGGATTGGTAGTTATAGTAAATCAAAATGCAGCAGTAACAGCCCAAAGCTATTTTCTTATTGATGCTCAAAAGAACATAGTCTCTGATTTCAGTCCTTGTTGATCACTGATTTGGAAGATGGCCCAATCTGGCAGGTGATGGACTGGTGGTTTTATAAAATCAGAATGCAACAATCAACATTTGCAGTCATTTTCTCTCCTTTCTCTTTTTTATTCTTCTCCTATTATCTTGATCATCTTTTCTTCCATTAGTTAAAACTCTATTACAAATTTTAAATTTCTTTTTATTCTATGACAAACAGGTAGAAAATACTTAAAACCAAATTATACCTATGAATTTGCACAAAATTCCACTGATCACATTTTCTTGTGATTCAACAGTCCTTGGATTTTTGCCCGAGCTTTCTTATTTGGGTCACCAATAGGATGATACTCCCTATTAACCTCCACCACCTGCTTTGCAGATGAGAGCAGAGTTGGTCTTTGAATATGAAAGTTACTATTTTCAAGTCCACAGAACTTATTAGTTTGCATAATTTGTTAGATGTCATGCTTATCTTGCAAAATATTTCTCATATCAATTGTTTAAATATTATTTTTAACATCTTTGTCAATAAAATATTAATTTTCTTACTTAATTCTTTAATTTTTATATTTTTTAATGTTTTTATCAATGAAATAATATTTTTTAAAAATTTAATATATACTTTATATATTTTTTAATTATTTTACTATTGTTTTATAAAAAAATTGATATTTTTTGTTAATATTAATTCATTGATGCATTTTTTAAAATATTTATCATACAAAATGCAAAAATTACATATGTATGATTAACTATGTATGTCATTCATTCCATGTACATGAGATACATGGAATCAAAGAAGTGTAGTGTGGATCATACCACAGAACACCACTATGGGTGTGGACTGGTCCTATCCACACAATTTGTCCACAGTTCAGAACAGCTATGGATGTGGTGTGGTGTGGATTGGTCCCTACCACAAGGTGTGGTGTGGACCAATCCACACCCACCAATTTCTCATCTACGCTAGAGAATACCCCCTAAATGTGTGGTAATTTCCCACCATATATCAACTAGGAATGGCAACAGGGCGAGTTTGGGGCAGGGCACCCCCTCCCCATCCCCGCCCCGAAATCACAATACGTTGCCCCGTACCTGCCCCATCCCCGGTGGCGGGGTAGGGCATCCATTCCCCATCGGGGACAGGGAATCCCCGAATTTTTCCCACTCCAAGGCAATTACTTAAAAAGTATCTATTTTATGGACAATTTATACATAGGATATAGGAATTTGAAGGTATTTTAGAATTGAATTACAATACTTTAGGGGTAATTCAAAAATAAAATTATGGGATCCTAGGATATTAAAAGTTTAGGGAAAACTTGGAGATATTTTAAATATCAATTTTAAGCCTAGAGATATTTTACTAATTTACCTTTAGGTTCGCAAAATTATATACAAAACCTGTCCCCGCCCCGTACCCAATTCGAGGAAATTTATTTTCCCTGTCCCCGCCCCGTCCTTGTTTAGGATCGGGGTTTACGGGGGAAATTTCCCTCCCTAATATCAACATATATGGATTGTATTTAAACATTAGGAGTATATAAATGTCATGTGGCATCTGAATGTATTTAATGACATGTTTATGATGTGTCGCGACATATATTAGATGACACATGGCATTTGAATGTATTCAATGATGCATATGTGTCACATAACATCATACATGAATGACATTTAGCATTGAACTATTTTCAACTAAATGTCTTATACCATATGACTACATATATGGATGTTATATGGCATTTGAATATACCATATAGTAGTATATATCCAAATGCCATATTTTATTTTTATTTTAAAAATATAATTTTGAAAAAAAATTCCATTCAAATGGTTTTAGAAGTAAAAATATGAAAGTAAAAACATAAATCTACCCAAAAACAGCTCTAGACAACATACCATATCACATAAAGCATGTATAAGAACTTCCATGCTATCGGGCAGGCAATGAAGTCAAATTTCCAATATTTGATTTGGGAAAAAGAAAAAATACAAGCTTTTCCATTGAGAGAGTATTTCGTATTGCAGATAATGGAAGCTTCATTTTCGGTTGAAAATTTCATCTCAGGGCCTATTTGTTTTCTGGATTTTGAGAGGGGGAAAGTTGATCAATGGAATTTTCATTCTCATGAACCAAGATACCCATGTTCTTTTTTTTATTTATGTGGGATCCGTAGAAAATTTATTTTCCCTAGGTATCAATTACACAGGGTAAGTGATACCTGTCCCCTAGGTGGGAAAAGTAGCCAACACTTGAATGTGACAAATTTGTTCCTTTTAATAATGGATTTTTATGGCTAAAATGGTCATTATCTTATTTACCTGGAAAACAAAAAAACATGGGTAAATGCATTTATGATTTACCTATATAAGTGTTTCGTGGGACATACTTACCCGGATAAATAATTGCCCAAAAAGCGAGCGGGGCCTCTGTGTATTATTGTTGGACTCAGGTTTAGTCTCACTCTCAATCGCCTAGGTCTGCCCAAAATACTTGCCAACAAACAAGTTCTTTTAACCCTTGGCACTCCTTTTTTTTGCTTCATCTTTTCTATTTTAGAAGTTGTGGCGATAAGTTTCCCTTCTTCAACTTTGTTTATTTTCCATTCTTCCATCTCGAACTACCTTAATTCGATTAGGAAGTAAAACAATGTGGTAATCAAGAATAGAAAGCAAAGGTGAAACTTGAGCATGTGGGCATTTTCCATTTTGTTCATTCTACGTATGGTTGTTAAGGGTAATTGTTAGCCAGCAACCAAACATCCGCATGCGTGTTGTTGGCAAATACACAACTGGACGTCTGGATGTACACAGTCGCACAGACCATAAAATCTGTTGGTACTGAAGCTTCAATTGCTAAGATTTGTAAGAAGAAAGTCAACACGTTATGTTCTTTTTTACAGTTTTTATTCTCAAACAAGGGATTTGTGATTCTGGATTTAGTTTCGGCACATTGGAGACTACAGAACCAAAAGCAACTAATACTACTTTACCAACTATTTTATGGCTTTATGTTGGATTTGAACTGAAGCTTAAACCCAAGTGATCTGGTCCACTTACCCTTACATATAATAAGAGTAGATTAGAGGCTTCATGGAATTCTTAGACTCATGAAAATGTTGAAACAACCTTGTGTTTGGCTGTTTTCTTTTGGGCTTTTCTCAGATTTCAGAATGTAGCTGTGAAAATGGAATTAGTGCATGACAAAAAGGACTTATTTTGCAAGAAAAGAAAAATATCCTTACGCATTAGCTCAATTATATCTTCATTTTAAAAAGGGGCATTTCATGTTTTTTCACTGGGGAATGGGTTATGGGCATATTTGGTTTGTGAAAAACGGAAGGTGCCCAAATCAGTTCCGAATTTCCATTTCATGATTTTAAGTTGGGTAGAGTCGTATAGGACACATATTTATTAGCTGTTCAGCTATGCTGTTAAAAAAGCCCTGCGCAACTGAAGCCATGTACATCCTGAACCTGTAGCAACCAGGCTCCATGTAAGGGGGATATATGCCACTACGTCAATAGGTATGGTGTTATTACGGTCGGAAAAGTATCGTTGCCCTTTAGTTTGGTCGTACACTTGATTTTCCTTCTGGGTAGTTGGAAGTTGGAACACCTTCCCGCCTTTCGGCCCCATTGAATCCATCGCTAATCTATCTTCAATTTGCAGTATTGTTGGTTTATAACATTAGTCTTAATCTGTTAGTTTGTCTAACTACAGACCGATCACTCTGCAAAGAATAAACAAAGCTGACTGCTTGAAGGCATGTACAAGGTCAGACCCAGAATAGAAAAAGATTTATAATAAAATAAACAAACAGAGAAAAAGAAAAAGAAAGCTTGGAGAAGCTTGACACATGGCCCTGCAAAATCGAAACCATCTAAAAAATACTTTTAGGTACCTGACTTACCTGCTTTAAATTCAGAATAGCAAAAGCTCCCTTTACCAGTTCAGGCAACATGGAGTTAGATAGAATTTACTACACTGTTGAAATACGCAAGGTGCCTGTAGCACAATACAGAGGTCAATTTTATGCTCAATGACTCGTGACAGTGGGGGTTCTAACATCAGATGAACGGGCTGACACCGGAAATCCATATTCATTAGGATTTTGTCCTTGTATTTCTACCTCCATAAATTTTCTTATGGCAGTTATTTTATCTTTCACTTTATTTCTTCTTTCATTTAGTAGCAGACAGTGATCCGGCATCATCCAGTTTTAACTTACCGGCCAAAGAAGGTGCCTTTGTCATTACTCATCAGAGCTGTTATAAAACCATACTAAGGACAGTAATACAGTCAGTGCGATATAACGTGCTCAGTCGGTTTTCGTTCCTGCAAAGTGAAAGCCAGAGCAAAGGCTGCCAGAATTACTAGAAAGACTCAGTTGCTTTATCATACAGTTCAATGATAGAACAGTGAAACAAAATCAATAGGGGCCAAACATCTTGACCTTGCATTATTTGAACTAAATTCTTTCTCAGCCCTAGATCAAAAATCCCAACCTTGAATTCCAAGATTATCTATAATGACAACCAAAGGGAGATATATGTTCTTGATGTAATTCAGCCGACTCGGTACAAAATATAACTGAGATTCTTTTTCTTTTTTTGAACAAAAAGAAGAAATCGACACTCCCATCCAAAACTAATTAAGATGCTGAAAAAAATGAGTGCAAATAGAACTGACGAACAAGGCAATGCAGGTTAAAATATGAGCATGTTGAGAAACAATAAACCCATGTAAGTGGACGACAGGCCTTTTAATCTATTCTCCTACTGTCAAGCCAAATCCGAATTTGTAGTCTTTCTTCCAATGATCAATCTGCAGACAGGAAAGTGTAACACAGTTACGTAAAAGCTACAAAGCAAAGGGCCACGCCCTGGCTCCAAGAAGCAAATAACTTCTGCCTTGTAAAAACTATAATACCCTTGTAGACAAAACCACAAATTGTCAATTAAAGAATATATGAACTTCTGGGTTCTAGAACTCTCAATGGATCAGATCAATATTCCAACTTAATCCAAATATGGCTCAATTAAGCCAGATACACATCTCCAATGGAAATTCACCCCTACCCCTATCAGATCTAATCAAGATTTTTCACCCAGTTAGCTTGCTGGTTGTAGCCAGTGTTAGAAGGCACTGAGGCGAGTCGTTGAGGTATACACCTCTCAAAAATAGAGGTGGTAGCCTCTTAGTAGAGGGGCAAGGCACCTGAGGCAAGGCATTTACGCCTCACCACCATGGACCTCAAATTGGTCAGGCATAAGCCTCGTATAAAAAGCATTAAAACTGAAAAAAAAATATTACGAATTAGTTATAATACTTTTTAAATTTTAAGAAAAATAATTATTTAGTTATTTATAAATAAAATAAACCAATCTATACTAACAATTTTCACATAATACTTCCCTTAAATGAAAATTGTCATTTGTTTTTCTCTTACTAAATGTACATGTTAGAATAGGGTTTATTTTTCCCAAATCTAATTATAATGAACAAAAATACCCTTGTACCAACAGAACCCACCTTTTATAGCTTTAATTCTTCATCGTTTATAAATTATATTATATTGAAAAAAGATCTAAAAATATATAAATTAGGTAAAAGTATTTTTATTTAGTAAAAAAGGGCTATAAATATAAAATAAAATTCAAAAAAGTAACATTAAAAAGAACATAATTTAATAAAATTAAATATATATATATTAACTATGAAAGAAAAAATATATTTGAAAATATATAAGGAAATATATATACATATAAATGGATAATATATATGTGATTAATTTAGGTAAATTAAATAAATGGGTAATTTTATTTAGTATAAATGTATATATTAACTAATTTAGATAAACAGAGTTATAAACATAAAATAAAAACACAAGGCTCATATTAAAAAGAATATGTATGTAATAAAAAGAAAATATATAAGTTGGCTATAAAATGAAATAAATTGTCTCTATATACATACATGCGTACGAACATTATATTTATATACATAAAATTAAAAAATTATATTTATACTTTGAAGTTTATGCCTCAAGGCTTACACCTCACCTCTTCGGCACCCAACTACCTTGCCTCCACCTTTAGTCTTCTAAAACCTTGGTTGTAGCGAAGGCCCAGGATGGCATCTTGCCTTCTAGCAGCATTTTTCACTCTTACAACATATAATTCTAAAACCACCTAAAACAGAGAAATGGAGCCAATAATAAAATAGCTTTTTCCTTTTTTTGTGTTCCCCTTTTCTAAAGAGTTGCACAGATTCTAGGACCACTGCAAATGTTTCACATTTACAGCATTGTTCAAAGTATCATACTCTCGATGTGCAAATTGTGTATCAAGAGTTTCAGTTGACGGAAACACCTTTTTTTAACATCTTGGTCATAGTTTTCAAGGCGCCAAGGTGAGGCTAGACAACAAGGGAGCACTTTGTCACCTAGTTGCCTAGGTGCCCACCTAAGCGATGGACTTTTTAAGTAAAAAGCATATACCTAGGGTAGTTCCTTAGGTTCCATAACCACATTTCCTTAATAATTATCCATATTTTTCACAAGTATAAACTTCATGTTGAAATATAGAAAATCAACATGTTTATAAGGAAAAGAAGAAAGAAAAGAAAATTCAAAAAATATGGGGGTTGAACCCCTATTTTGTTATAGGAAAAGAAGAAGAAGAAAACACACCATTTAGCAATGTTTGTGTTGATTAAACCATAGCAAATCACACACACACACACACATATAGAGAGAGAGAGAATCTTTGGGCTCTTTTCCGTTCGCCTTCACATGCCCAACACGTGTGAAAATTTAAATGTAAAACCCAATGGGAGACATATGTGTAAAAACCAAAGTGTAAACCCCAATGTTAAATGTAAAATCCAATGGGAGATGCATGTCTAAAAACCAAAGTGTAAAACCCAATCTCACTTTATTGAACCACCATTTTTCTTTAACTCTCGTGTAAAAACCAATGTGTGATATTTATAAGCATTTGCTAATTACAAAAGTGCCATTATTTATTTCCTTGAATTTTCTACTAATTACAAAAGTGCCATTATTTATCTCCTTGAATTTTCTATTAATTACAAAAGTGCCATTGAAAGCAATCATTGTCTCTTTTTTAGTTATGCATATGGCATTAAGTTTTCATGTAATTACAACACTGCCATCAACATGTAATTACAATATTGCTACAAAATTGTTATTACTCTTTATACTTTTCATTTATTACCTCTCTCTCTCTCTCTAAGGTTGTCAATGGTTCGGGTTGGACCTGATGAACCCAAACCAATTGGGTCAAATTGGATTTGGTTCCTGATATATTGCCCCGATTCTTGTCGGGTCGGAGCCTGTTCCACCCAGTCATGAATTATAAATATATTATTTATATTGCATTTTTGTAAATTTGTTATATTATTTATTTTTTATAAAAAAACATGTATATATGATGAAAATAGTTGAAAAAATACTTGTAGTTTTGTTTTTCTTTATTTAAATTGTTATATTTTAATAATTTATTAATTTTTAAAAAATCAAATCGGATTGGATCAGATTCGAAAATATAACTTCCTCATCGAATTCAAATTCAGACCCATGTTTTATCATTTCCAATCGGATCTTCGGATTGGATCTACAATTAATAGTGTCGGATCGGATTTGGATATACCCCTTATTCAAATCCAATCCGATCCATCTGCGTCCCTAGTCAATGGGTCGAGTTGAACCTGATGGGCCCAAACCGATTGGGTCAGTTTGGTTTTCGGTTCATGATTTATTGTCCCAATTCTTGTCGGGTCAAAGCCGGTTCCACCCAGTCACGAATTAATTTGGAGCCGGGTCTAAATTCTAAAATTATATAGGAGATAGTCCACTCAAAGATCTCTTCCCTGACCTTTACACTTTGTCAAACTTCAAAGGAGAAACAGTAAGCATTTTGGGTAATCCTGGCCCAAATGGGTCAATTGGAATCTGGGTTTTAGGAGGGGCCTCGGGGAAAATGAATGTGCCTCTTTAGTCCACTTACTGGATCTGTTAGGACAAGTTCATTTGGACCCATCCTTGGAAGATTCTAGAATTTGGAAAGGCTCCTTAGATGGCCTCTTCTCTTGTTCCTCCTCCTAGTAACCCGGTTGGGGACTTCCCTGTAAAAGAAATTTGGAGTAAGCCTATTCCCCAAAAAATTCAAGCCTTTTGTTGGGAAATTTTCCTTAGCAAAGTTAGAACTTGCGATATGTTGTAGAGAAGAAGGCCTTTTGCTTGTCTTTCTCCTCACATGTGCTCCCTTTGTAAGGAAAGTGGTGAGACCTTGACACATCTATTATTATCTTGTTCCTCTGTGCATCACATTTGGGATTCTTTTTTGTCTTCTCTTTGGTTGCAGGTGGGTTCCCCTTCAAGATGTGATAGGACTTTTCAACAGAAACTTTTTGAGGCAATCAAAGAAAATGAAGGTTATGTGGAAAACTACAAAGGCAGTTGTTTGTTGGGTAATATGGGAAGAAATGAATAACAGAATATTTTTGGATAAGAGTAGAACAAGGAAGGAGGTAATCGACACAATTAAAGTTAAAGTAGCTCATTGAATAAGATCTTTACATATCTTTCAAGAGTTCTTAGTCACAGACATTATAAGATCCTGGACAAAAGTAGCGCAATCTTCAAGAGTGAAAGAGAGATAAGGATGGAATTTTGATGGAAACCTCCAAATGGTGACAAGATTAAACTGAATTTTGATGAAAGCTCCTTTGGGAATCAGGGACTGTCAGGTATCGGTGGAGTAATCAGAAATTCTGAAAGGAGAATATTAGCATTGTTCTTTGGACCTATCGGCATGGGCAATTCTCTAAAAGCTGAGTTAATGACATTGCTACAAGGATTGAAGATAGCTACGCAACTAGGAATGAGGCATGTTGAGGTTGAAGGGAACTCCAAGGTGATCATCTCTTGGGCTAAAAACAATAGAACTACTCCGTAGACTTTCAAACAAGTGATAAGGGAAGTGGAAAATGTGGCAAGGGAGGTAGAGGCTGAATTTAAATGGGTTAGAAGGAGTGCAAATGGGTTAGCTGGTTATCTTGCTAAACAAGAGGCTTTGAGGCACCAATTGTTTTGGGCTGCATTGTAAAGAGGGACAGAAATATGTAATAGTGTGGGAGCTCTAACCCCATAAACAGTTGTAAAACTTTTTAACTCTAATTTCAAATAAAATTCTCCTTTGCTGATAAAAAAAAATTCTAAAATTATATACATTGAATTGGAAATTTGTGAGTCTAATGTGAGCTCGGGCTGGTCTAAAGTATTGGGCCAAAGCTTGGGCTAAAAATTTGTAGGGCCAGGCCCAAACCAAGTGTAAAGACAAAACTTAGGACCAAGCCTAGAATTTTTTGGCCAAGCTAGGCCTTTTCATCTACACCTATTTAACATCTCAATTGAAATCCATGAAACGAAAGCAAACTGATGTTTTAAAACATTTCCTCTTCTCTCAATCTCTCTCTCCAAGAATTCAACCGCTTCCTCCATCCCTCCCCCATATTCCCCCAACGCCTCTAATAGTATGCACTTGTTAAAATGTCTTAGTTAAATGTATTTTTTAAGATTTTATTAATTATTTTAAAGTTATTATTTGTAATTGTAAAATTATTTGTTTTAAAATTTGAGTAATTAATGTAATTTAAGTATTTAATTATATTAACTAAATTAATAATTAATTGATTTGCCAATAGTTATTTAATTAAGTTAAATTAACTAAATTAACTAATTAAGTAACACTAAATTAATTTGCTTCATTTATTCAAATAGTTAACATTAAATCTGCCCATATGAATAAAATTATTAAATGGGTTGTGTGTTCTTATCAACCCCTGCAACGCAGGGGCACTCCGCTAGTAACAAAATAATAAAAAGAAATTAGTATATAAACACACAAAATGAATATTTTAGTTTAATAAAGTCTATTTTCTAGAATTATAAACTCAAAAAATTAAGAATACAGAAGTATTTTATATTTATAACACAATGTACAAAACTACTTGGCGATTAGATGAGGCAAGCCTCCAAGGGCGCTTGTCACCTAGTCGTTGCCTTGACAACTATGATCTTGGTTCTATACTTTCACATGGGTCCTGCCATATCACCTTTTAATGTTTAAAAAAAAAAGATTGAAATCACCTAACTCCACTAAAATAGCATATCAGTGACCCTGAAAACTGATGCAATATGCCTTGTATCAGGCGTATCGTATCGATATTTTGAACCTTGGGCTCAGTTTGGATAGATTACAAATACAAATATGTACAGTGCAAATACATACAAAATACAAGGTCTTGCACTATACATTTTTGTATTTGTTATTCCTTCCAAACTGAGCCTTGATTTACAATACAGGTAGGAAATACAGAAGCCCCTTTTTTCATCTGAGGAGAGTCTAAGTTCTAACCAGATTTCTGAATCCATTAGTAGTTGGCAAAGAAGAATTTAACCAAGAAAAGTACTACATGGCAAACATCCATACTCACCTCAGCAGAAAGAATAAAATTGAGACCCATGTTCAATCTCTCTTCCAGAAAAGCAGCAGTGCAACCATTAGAATCTATCTTCCCCCTCAGACGACACTGCAGAAAATTCAAGCTTTAAAAACATAGAAACATATAAAACCATTTTTTTCCTTTTTAATAGATGTTTTGAGTATTCATGCATTCAAACCAAACAAAAATTAATGTAACCCACAAGGGACATGCAGGAAGTAAATTATTGAGAAGGATAAAATAAGCACTGTGATAACTAAAAATCACATTAGAAAAGATTTATTATTTATCAGAGATTAATAGTAATATGCAGGTGCTACAGAGAAATTTCCTTTAGCTCTCCAAACAGTAATTTCCAGAACTTTGGCTTTGGCTTGTTCAAAGATAATGAAGACCGTGACCATTACAATGAAAGACTGAGTATAATCTCTGTTAATGGCAACATGAAACAACCTGAAAGAAGGACAAATGTAGAAAGGGATGGACATAAAAGGAATTATGGAATTGAAGGAGAAAAGGCTTGTATGTGTCCTTTTTCAATAGTCTCAAATGGACAAGACTTTTTTTTCATAAGAAATGGACAAGACAACTTTTATAGAAGAGATGACTGTCTATTGAACTTCTTTATTCATTTTCAAAATCATTTGTAAGAAAATGAAGGATAAATTGACTAGCACAAAAATAACATTACAACAATAACAGTTTTCTAGAAAAGAATCCCTTTGCAGTTACTTCAATTGTTTAGGCACCAAATACTAAACCATATTATATACAAGTAATTGGGAGAGGATCTGTCTGTCAGGTCATATAGTGAGGCAATCTGAACAAAGCAGAAAATATCAGAAGACAATTTGCAAGAATGAATTGATCTCTTAGATGTGGGTGTCATATAATAAATTTACCTGTCGGAGGACGTAATCATAACCAAAACTTGCTGTTACATCTCGTGACATGTAGTTATACATGAAATCTGATGCTAGAGAAACCTACATTACAAATAACAATATAAGACAACACACAAAGCACATCTATAAAAATAGGTACTATAACTTCTATCAAAAGGCAACCCTACCTTCTCAGATACCTTCTGAACATAGCTGAGAGCAACCATTCCAGTACTGGCAACTTGCCCTGTAGCAACCTGCAGGAAGCAAATCAGATCCTTTCCAAGTGTAAAATAATTTTTTTTTATCAATATCCAAGTGTAAAATAATCACATGATTTTTAGTTGAAAACAAATTTTATCAGTCATCAGCCATCATTTGTTACATCAAGCCATGTACCAAATAGAAACTGAAAGCACCACACTACCACTACCAGTTGGAGGATTAAAGCTACTATTAACAATGAGATAATAAAAATACAAAATGCAATGGCATTTGAAGATCGATAAAGCAGTTGAAAGGAAGTACCAACCAGTAAAGCATTGGGAATTATTTTCCTGGGAAGAGAAGAGTTGGCAAAAAAAAGGCATTTGTAGATCTGAAAAGAAAAGAGAGGGAGAAGTGCAGAAGACTACAAGATCTTGATCAGGTTGGAGGAACACAAAATGAGGCTGATAGTGCAATTATGTTTTTCTCTTTTTTTCTGAAGATAAAATAAAAATTTATAAAAGGAAAAAAAAGAAAGAAATTACAAGAAAGGTGACCAGACCAGAAGCTACCCGATAGAAGAAAGACAACAAAACCTTCAACAAACTCAAAACTTCAAGCACATATTCCACCTACTACTACAAACAACCTAATCTCCCAACCATAAAATTTAAGACAATCATCCAGCCGGACCTGCCCCCATCAAACCTTACAAAAACAACAGCCACACCCCAATAAACTGAAAGAAACCTAGCTCCAAAGAGACAATGGTCCAACACAAAAGAAACCCAGACCCATTATTTAACTCTTTTAACTGCTTGAGCAGGAACCTCACTACTCTTGGAACACTTTTTAGATTTCTTCACCTTTTTGAGAGGGCCCACACCAAGAAAGCCCCCTTTCAGCCTTGCAAAAACTTTAGAAACCTGCACCTTTTGAATATTTTTCTGCCTCCTGAAGTGCCTTGCGCATTGGGAATTTCTTTTGAATATCTGCCTCCTGAAGTGCCTTACACATTGGGAATTTTCTTAAGATCCTTAAACTTCTTAGGACTTGCATTGATTCTCTCCAGCTCCAGCACCACATTCTTCTCAATGATCTGCTCTTCCCCCTTCTCATCATCCTCTTTATCCACATCTTCTGTGTCTGAAAATGAACTGAAGTTCACTAGAGCACCCTAAATGAAAACCAGCTTCAACATTCTTTAAGTTTTCTTCGTCACGAGTCATGACTTTTCTCCTCCAGCTCTCTAAATGCCTTTCTTGTGAATTCCTTACTCCAGAAAGGAAAAAAAGAAAGGAAGAAAAAAACCAATGTTTTGCTGACTTCCACCTCTTTGTTAACCACTGTATCCAAATCAACCAAACTCTTAACTGCAAAAGACTCATCAAACACTACATCATCTTCTTGATGGTGTAATTATATTTGATAGGAATTATTGTAGAGATTTAGAGAGGTGAGAAAGTGACTGGCAATGATGATTACAATATTGTGAAAGAGCAGGAGTCTCAGGGTCATAAAGAGGAAGGAACAGTCGAAGGGTTGGATTTACAGAATAAAAGTTGTGTTGAAATTCAAGTTTGTAGAGTGGGGATGGAGCTGGGCTGAAGAAGGTTTGTTATACAAAAGAATACATCTTTGCTTAATAGAAATGAGGATAAGGAGTCAGGGGAGAAAGAGAAGGAATCTACTACTACCATATATTTTACAGGGCAGAAGAACCAAAGAACCGTCCAAGTTTTAAAGATCTTTTGGCATTGTCTCCAAGAAGGTTTATAAGAAAAAGAGGGACAAAAAACTACAGAAATACCAAGTTGGTGGCCAATGATATGAAAATCACCGAGTTGATTTATCTTTAACAGACAATGATTATGGGGATTCCTTGAGAAATCATTCAAAAGGGGGAAGATATTTATGGCATAGAAGATGGTGAAACAAATATGTTGTGTGGGCTTCTAAATGGGTAGTGAACCCCAATTTGGTAATGTTGTTCATTCATTCATCCTAATAAAATGTCTTCTTTAAAAGCAATTAAAACTATAAAATCATTATTTTTTGTGTGAAAACTAAGAATTTAAGACCTAACATGGACTTGTTTGGGCTTGCCTCGAGGGGCATGGCACAAAGCCGGCTCGTAGAATCAGGAATGTAACATGTTTTACATTACATTAGCTATGTGAAGTACTGCAATTGAGTGAAAAAAGAAATTAGAGGTTTTACATGCTTGAAAATGTTTTATATGTTTGATTTTGTTTTTAAATTCCCATTTGAATATGCTTAACATCTTATGTTTATGTATTTTAATTTTAGATAATAGGTTTTTTAAAATATTATTTTAAAATTTTAGTTTATATTTTTTATTAATATTATGTTTAATATTTGTTGAATTTTTTTTTTTGAATTTTTTGGCATTTTTTTTAATTTTCTGACATTTTTTTTTATTTTTTATCATTTTTTTTTATTTTTGTGCCTTGAATCAAAAAGGCGTGCACCTCACCTTACGCCTTGCGCCTCAGGCGCAAATTGACCCCTGCACCTTTTTTGCGCCTTGCACTTTTAAAACACTGGCCATGAATACTGATAATCACTTTGTACCACAACTTATCTTGTTCCAAAAGCAATCTCCACAACCATTTACCCAACAAATGTTTCTGGGCCTAATATTTCCTATTCCTAGACCCCCACTATCCCTACTTCTAGAGACCACCTCCCACTTCACCAGATGATCTTTCTTTGTATCCCTTAGCTCCCACAAGAAATCCCCCATTAATTTCTCCAACTGATTAGCTACTTTACTAGGGATTTTGAATGTAGATAACAAATAGACAAGCAAGTTAGATAGAGTAGACTTTATTAAGGTAATTCTTGCCCCTAAAGAGATGTAATTTCTCTTCCACCCTGCTAGCCACTTTGAAAATCTTTCCAACATTGGACACCAAAGCTTTTAGAGTTTGGGTTCCCCCACAAAAGGTAATCCCAAGTAATGTAACGACCAACCCCCTACCTCACAACCCAATAGCCTAGCAAGGTTTTCCATCTCTTCTTCTTCTTCTTTATTTGCTCCCACTAACCACCATAACTTCCCTCCCAACTCTCTAGACTCTTATTAGATTATTAGCATTAGCCCTTGAAATCAAATCACTCAAGATATTGGCAACAAAGTTGACAAGGAAAGGGGATAGAGGATCTCCTTGTCAAAGACCCCTTCTAGCCTAAAAAGTCCCTAGATACTCCATTGACCAAAGCGGAATAGTGATCAAAGGAAATAAAACCCTTTAGCCACTTACACTATCTCACTCCAAAACCCCTAGATCTCAAAACTTCCAATGAGGATGTGATCTATTATTTGTCTCCTGAAAACAAAAGCACCTTGGAGAGATCAACAATGGACTTTTTTAATCCTCTCAGCCAACACCATAGAAATGATTTTATACGAGCTTCCCACAAGGTTTATAGGTCTAAAATCCTTTGGGTGGTTTGAATCCACCTTCTTGGAGATCAAAGCAACAAAAGTTGCATTTGCTTTCAAGTTAAACTTGCCCCTCCAAGAATTCAACAAACACCTCCAAAAGATCAGCACCAATAATCTCCCAATAGTCTTGATAAAAAGCCATTGTGAGCCCATCTAGACCCAGTGCTTTCGATCTCTCCATGGAAAAAATTACATCCCTTACCTCCTGCATCCCAAAGATTTTTTCCAATACATCCAGCACCTCCCTAGAGCCCACCCTCCATTCATAGTCTACTAAACTTTCTCTTTGTCTGCCTGTGCTAGCATAGATAGTTTTGAAGTGGTCTACAAATGCTCGTGCTATATAGTCCTTCCTTGTCAAAATTTGTTCATTCCGCTCCAACTGGAAAATAAAATTTTTCCTTTTCCTATTTCCAACCATGTGGAAAAAACATGTATTCCCATCACCTTCCCTTAACTTCATTCATTTAGATTTTTGTCTCCAACTAATATCCTCTTTCCTCAAAATCTCTTCCAAATCCCATTTTGGCCTCCATCTTTCATCATGTTCTTCCCCTAAAAGTCTTCTTTCCCCTTCAAGCCCATCAATCTCCTCAATCTTGTGTACTATCTAGTCCTTTCTTTCCTTTATCCTCCCAAAATCCAATTTATTCCAATCCTTAATCCTAGATTTCAGCCTTTGTGATTTCTCGTAAAACTTGTACCACCTAAACTCCTCCTTATCCTCCCATCATTCTTTCACTTTTGGTACAAACTCAGGGTGAAGTAACCACATATTCTCAAATCCAAATGGGGACAGACCTCCTCCCATCCTTTCTTGGGATAGTCTAATTGGACAATGATCTGAAGTAGGTCTTGTTAAGGCTCTAGCTACAGACCTGGCAAAAAGTTGACCCAACCCGCGAACCCAACCCAAAAAAACAGGGTTAGGGTCTCATATTTTAGCTACTTGAAGTTGAGAATGACCCGATCCGACCCAACCCGAAAAAAACTGGGTTGGGTCATGGGTCAACCCGCTAACCCGAATGTTAGGTCTAATTGGGATTTGGGACTATTTATGTATTGTTAGAGATTTCCACCCTTTAACCTTTACTATTTAATGTTTGCTCTTTGAATTGAATTGTTAAATGTTCAAGTTTTTATTTTATTTTTAGAATTTTACGGTTAATTCCTTTAATTTTGACATTTGCTTGTACTTTTTTCTTTATTTTTTAAAATTTCAGTTATTTTTTTGGATGAGCCAAATTGACCCGTGGGTAAACCCTAACCCAAACATTTAGGGTTAGGGTCTAGCATTTGCTGGCCCAACCAGAAATAACCCAACCCAAAGCGTCTTGACCCAACCCAATTGCCAGGTTTATCTAGCTATCATCCTCCTCCAAGCTTCCTCCTAGCCTAAAGAAAAGAAAACCTATCTAGTTTGCTACAAGTAGGGAATTACTTCTTAATTGAATTTATTGGGATCACATAAATCACATAAATCATAAGATTCATGAACCAAATAGTAGAATTCAAAGAAAAACACGTATGATTTTTGCAGAAGGGGATTCAGACATGAGATTCAAATTGAAACTCTTGGGATTCATGATTCAAATCGCGAATTATCTCAAAAATCTAAGATTCTGACACCATTATATGGTTCTATAATGGTGGAAATCAGACACTGTAAAAAGGCCAAATCAATTTTTTAGGGAGTTTCTCTTCTCATTCCATGCTTATTACTATGTTATTGCAGAAAGCTCTCTACTTGACAACATTAGGAAATCTCATAGAAACATAAATAGTTGTAAAGATACCGTTTCAATTTTTATTTATTATTGGTCAGCAGTAATGAATCTCTTAACTCCAAATGAAAGATAATCTGTGGTTCTGCATATAGCAGTAGAAAGCAGTGTCACAACCCCAAGACAAGGATGCAAACAAGAAGCCTTCCAAAGAGATACAAAGTTGGAAAAAACAATGAAAAACAAAGAAAGAAAACCCTAATAAGTTGCCCAAGAAAAATCCAACCTCTCTAGCACCGCACTAGTGAGATTTGCAATGAACCTTGAAATCCATCTGAATGAGATGTTCTTTCTAGAAAGCCAAAGTTCTAGAATACTTGATGGTGTCTTAACTTCCATTGTTCATTAGAACCGTCTATCATCAATCCTTCTACAAGTAGACAACCTCAGAGTCGACCTCCACCAAAAGACACTCAAAACCTAGTAAAACATCAACCCAAGACCCATAAGAAATACCATTGTCTCTGCTCAAATCAATTCACTATGACCAATAGACCTTAAGAACACCATAAACAATCCTATGCATGGCCCCTAAATACACCTTTAATTCCTGAATGCCCGAGATTCCCAAAAAGATGCAAGGTTCAAATTGAATCAGACAACTCAATCAGAAGGGGCCATATTAGTGTGGCACATCATTTACAAATCAAAGAGCTCACAATAATCTGCTATCCTATATTCACTGCACACAGCAGAGTACTTTTAAATTCATCCTCCATCAGAATCCAATGAGCAGCTCTGATGGTAAAGAGATCAATAGAAATATGTGACAACCAGGTCCTGTTAGTGAAGATCCTTGAATTCCTTGACTCCCAAATGTATCACAGGACAACATTCTTAATGTAACTCCAAAACAGATTCTATCTCTCCAGGTGTTGGATATAAAGAAACTTCCGCAAACAAGCTCAAGATATAATTAGGAGGCTGCCACTTGATGCCAAAGGGGGTCGGGGTGGGAGATTAAGTGATTCAACATCTCAGTACAAAAAAAAGTGGATTTTGAAAACCCTACAAGATTTGATTTCATCAAAATTTTTAGGAAATCTAGATAGGAATTACTATTTTGTTACAACAATAAGTATTACACTAAGTAATCAAAGAAAAGGCAATAAATCAAGTTGAAAAAAATGAATTCTTATGTCCAAACAAGGCATACACCATCAGAAAAAACATTCGACTGTTAGTGCAGTAAACTGAAGCACATTTTCAGAACCAAAAGCCCCATTGAATCAATAGCACTATATTAAAAGAAAAAAAGAAGCTAACAAAAAGTTTATTAATATATATTCATCAAAAAAAAGGTTTATTTGTATATCACGGATTATATTTATTGATGCACTATTTGTTGCAGCATTTTCCTTTGGGAGGGAGGTAGAGCCCTTGTTAAAGATGAAAGAACACAAGGGTTTGAGAATTTGATACACGATAAGAAACTAGTAGATATACCATCTTATCTGTGTTGTATCGAGCAGCTAAACCAATTCCAGACTTCCGATGCTGACCAGCCCAAAACACTTCACTACCCAAAGACAAATGTGGAGTAACACTCTGCAGAACAATAAGTGTAATTTAAAATTAGTATGATCAGCTGAAAGAGAAAACTGATAGAATAACAATCCTAGACATACTTAGAAAGGAGATCAAACACACTAAAATCCATGATACAGACTAAGAGCAGAAGACAAATAATAATGTGTTTTATCAATTTATCCTGAAATCTGAACGCATCACAAACTTAATTCAAAAACAAGGAGCCAAAAAGCAAAAGATGTCATAATGGATAAAGGTAAACATGTTAAAAATATTAAAAAAGGCATCTATGATTTGATTTACCAGTGGATATGTGATGTACGTGTACCTATTATTTACTGGTAGGCTTGTTAAACTCTACCTCCCATCAAGTTGCAATTCCTCTTTCGCACTGCTAGTCTCTTCGCACACCTCTCTAGGATTGGGTTCAAAACCTACATTTCATGGGATTTGCACCTAGGAGAAGGCCCAAAAAGTCAAACGCCAAATAGATGTGGACCACTCTAAACACTGTGCTATAAATTCTACTTCCCTTTTCTCCATATTGACCCCATAAATGCAGCACTTTTCAAGACTGATTTTCAAATTTGAGACACCTTCAAATTTCTTCACCAGCTCCTTTAAATTCCTTACCATCCTGTGCTCTCCTTCACAAAAAATAATAATGTCATCTACAAATTGAAGGTGGGTGACAGATGTTATTTCTACCAACCTTCCAGCCCCTGGTCTCCTCCTCCCTATCCACCTTGAAAAGGAGACAAAGGACCCCCCTGCCTTAATCATTTGTATGCCAGGAAGAAATCCCTCACTACCCCATTGACCAAAATGGTATAGTGACTCAATTTCAAGCACCCACTTACCCAATTATACCATCTTTCCCCAAACCCATAATTTTCCATAGCTTCGACTAAGAAAGTCCAGTCAACCAGTCATTGGCTTTCTCTAAAGATGATACCTACTTATATAGTATAGTTTTTTTGATAAAAGAGAGATTTATTATTGAAGGAAAAGAAAAGCCTCAAGGAGAAATGCTTCAAAAAGGAGCGCAGTACTCTAGGCGATAATAAAAAAAAAATCACATTGATGGCATAATGCATATAAAATACATTTTGAGAAATATATGCTACCTGTATGTAACTCGCACCAAATAAGGCACCATTCCCCAGTTGAAACTGAATCCTGAAATCTTTACCCTATAAAGAATGAAAGGAAACATTCAAACTTGTGAAAAATGAAATGGCATTAGCAATAAAAGCAATCTTATAATCATTTCAGCAGATCTAAAGCATTTTCTTCATCCTGATAATCAAAATGAATAACTGAATCTTTCATGACATGGGAACACCATTTGTATGAACATGATAGATGCTTAGGGAAAATAATAGTCAAAAGAAAGATAGATATGCAGGAAAAGCAACAATATATGATGCAGACATATTGATTCATGAGAAAACAACTAAACTAGGAAATTGCATTCAGAATCTAAATTTTTTTAGAAAATTAATGGATATATATAAATACATAAATACATACACACAGAGAAAGTACAACAGAAAAAGGGGAGTTAAAAAGTAAGGGTGCCTGACCTTGTAATCAAAATTGACCATACCATGTGACATATGTGGCTCACTTGTGAGCTGTATAAAATACATGCAAGTTATTAATATCAAGAATAACTCTATCTAAAAGACACTCATAACATGACATCCACAAATCAAAATAAAAAAAAGGTATCCATATATAAAAAATTTAGAAGTAAACGTCAAAGACCTGAGAATTCGCCTTCAAGATAAGATTATCAGTCAAATCACACTTCACTCTTGCATTAAGCCTCCCATCAGTCAATATCCTCCCAAAGAGCATTAACTGTAAGACACCAATTGACTCCACAAAGTTAAACCAAAGATCCAAGAAACATATACCTGTTTTAATTGGCTAAAAGCTATAAAAAGCCATTGAGAAAATAAATGTGGTTACAGATGCCCACCTTTGGGTCCAGAAAATTAGCGCCAAATTCATAATGTGCAGTAGGGATTTTGATGGTTTCGGAAGCTTGTGAAGGAACCTCCATAGGCCCCATGAACACACTGATAGATAGATCAGAAGCAAATAATTACTCAAAACAAAAAGAGAAAAGTAAAATAAAAATGACATATACTGATCTCAACCCCCCTCCCTCGGGTGGAAGGGAGAAATTTACCTATGACTGAGGGAGAATTTCTGGTTGAGCCCCTTGGTGAAATCAAAGCGCATTCCCTCAAAAAGTTCCGGCTTTAAGGACACTGTCAAACACGTCAAATGGAACCCAATAACCATATTTCAAAACATGATTGACAAGATTTTCAGACTGTACTGCTTAAAGGCTTCACTACCATAGGTGCTCATTACCATAAGATTTTTTTGGGGGATAAATAACAGCCACATCATTTCAATAAAAACTCCTAACTGCCCAAACAGGCAGCAGGCCAGAAGATTATGAATACAATCAAAAAGGAAAGGAAAAAAGTTACAAATTGATTCCCGGCCCTGGTCAACCCCAAACCAACTGATCCTTTCAGCCCCAGATCTTGTTAAGGAGTCAACCAATACATTTAGACACCAGAAGAAAATAGAAAACGAGAATCTCTTTTGAATAGGAAAATGTAATTAAACCATTAGAAGCCAAAAAAAAAAGGAAACAGGGAATAATTGCTCCAAAGCCTATACATCTACCATAATAGAGGGTAGAGAGATCCTGCTTAGGGGCTCCCAAATTTGACAGCTAAAGCAGAGTTCCATGCATGTTGGATACTCTATAAATTATGAATTTAGTGTATGTTTAGTTTGATATTTATGTAACATATAATGTGCTTAACATTGTAAGTAGAACTCCCGGGACTCAAAAACTGTGGTAAACTGGCTGAAGAAACGGGAGGGAAAATTTTGGCAGTTAAGGAATGAGTTCAGGCACTTCAAACAGGCTTCTAAAGACATGGTTATTCAAATAAAATGGATTAGAAGATCAGCTGATGATCTAGCTAAGCAAGGAGTTAAGAGAGAATCTATGTTTTGGGCTATATTCTAGTTAGTACGATGTTTCTGTCGGGTTACTTTTTGGGCTGTGTTGTAATTAAAGGGATTGTTTTTGGGTTTGTTTGGGGCTGTGATGTATTCAGTGGACAAAGTGGAATGCTTGTCTGTCATAACTTCTTGTTGTACTTGATTCTCTAAGTAATGAATTTTTTCTGTGTTGCTGATCAAAAAAAAAAAGTAGAACTCCCTAGATCAAAGGCAACAAAACACATAAATGCAGTCTAGGTCCCTAGTTACTTGTGTGTTATACATATTGAACAGTTCAAGACCCAACTACTGGGCGGTCCTACCTAATAGGGGAGGGGGCAAACACCAAAACTCAACATGCTCCAAGGACACTTAACCTTCTTATTTATGCATCAACCTTGGAACTTCTTTATTTTTTTTGAAAGGTAATATAATCATTAAAAGCCAAGACCCAAAAAAGTATGATGGTGGTATGGATCCAAAGGTGGGGTGTTCACACCCTTTTAGAGGCACCTAGAGGTGTACACAGGCGGCCCGCGCAAAGTGCGGGTCATGTCGTGCTGGCCCGCAGACCGTCACGGGTCATGCCACCCTCCCCAGTGAAAAGTTTGGGGGTTGGCCCAGCACAACCCATGGCCCAAGCCTGTATGGGCCCGTTCCGTGCCATGTTGTGCCGCGGACCGGGCTGGCCCATGGGCCAAGCCTTAGCCCAAGCTGGGCCATGGACCGGGCCAAAGCTATTTTTGCCTATTTATTTAAAAAAAATTGAAAAAAAACTTAAAATTTTAATTTTATATGAATTTTGATGTATACAATTACTTATATATACAATAATTAAATAAATTAGTATAATAAAATTGAAAAAAATTGTTTATTTTATTAATATATTATATACTATATAATATTATATAATGATAATTTATATAATATATTATATATAAATATATATAAATATATAAAATATATAATATATTATATATGTAAATAGTATAAATGGGCCATGTCGGGCCGGGCCACAGGCTGGGCCGTGCCAGCACGCAGGCCGCGGGCAGCACGACCCGCTTGGTCATGTCATGCCGGCCCGGCCCGCAAACCTAAAACCCTAGGCCCAACACAGCATAGACCATTGTGTCGGGCCAGTCCAAAGTCGGGTCAGGCCGTGCCGGGCCGTGGGCAGCACAACCCGATTTACACCTCTAGAGGCACCTGACTCTCCAATGGTGCAGTGGAAATGGATATGGAGAGCTGGCGTCCCATTCAAGACGGCCTTCTTTGTTTGGACTGCTATTCTTGAGAAGGTTCCCACAGTAGACTGCCTATTGGTTAGGGATAATGGGGTTTGTGGAGAAGCAGGTGAATAAGTGAACCATTTGCTGATTCATTGCCCTTTTTCTTATAAGATATGGATGCATCTTGTTAGGTTTTTTGGGGCCTGCTGGGTGAAGTCAGACAGAGTTCAAAGTCTGTTCGATTCTTGGCAGAAAGCTGTGTCCTGTAGAAGAGGAAAGCATTTGTGGTCTATGGTGCGCTTTGCTGTTTGCAGAAGTATATGGAAGGAAAGGAACAGGAGGATTTTTGAAAACAAACTCCTTTCTTTTGAATAGTTGGTGGGCAAGGTGGAAAGAGTGATTTTCAGATAGGCGGGGCTGAGAAGAGACTTTGCTGCGTTACATTCCAGAATCTCTCTTCAAATTAGAATCAAACTATCTTTTTGTGAATATGTACATATAACCACCATACACACTACTCTCATCTAATATAATCTATACACTCTTCAACCTTGGAGCTTTTGAATGGTATCAAATTATCAATATAATTTTTGTCTGATAATAAGCATGCATGAGGAGACAGGTGCTAGAATATTCTACAAATTCTGTGGCCCCAGAATCCCAGACCATGGCTTTCAGTAGCATGTTGTAAGTGTATTACATGTATGACAACAAATAGATATAATTACTGTTGATTCTTGGTGATCTTTATTGATACCTTTTCGTACAGCAGAACAGATTTTCTTATTGATCCATCTAGCAAGGAGATGCTACTGGGATGTCAACCATGACACCCATTTCTCATGTGCCAAGTATCACAACACATCTTTTTACCACATGTAAAAAGAAAGATCTGTGCTCTAGCTATTTTTTATCTTAAATGTAAAACTAAAAGTCAACTACATAAGCTGATATCAGTATGGGAAACCAAACAAATAGCCAACTTAATGCGTCTTTGAAGAGTAGAACACATGGACTTTCCAAATGAGGAAAGCAATTTCAACAACCTAGAAATCTTAGACTTGGTGGTATATTTGGTGGCCCAACAGGACTCCAAGTATGACATCCCAGGCTCAGTTACTCACAGGGGCAAGTTTCAACCCAACAACCCCTGCCAGACTGCCATGTTTATCTGGTCCCTTTTTTATGGTCATTTATCTGGTCTTTTCTACAACAAGAAAATGAAGCTTTCCATGACTAACATTGCTTGGAAAGAGTAAAATTATATTGGGTACATTACCAACTTGAGTTGGGTTAGCAAAATCCATGGCTTATCCAGAATGTCCCTATCTGTTAATTAAACTGAGTGGAATGAACATGTGTTACCTCAATAATGCTGGACCTGTAAAAAAAAAATGGCCAAAAGTCTTCTATAGAAATCAAAGATTAGGCTTCTATGAATATCTAAAGGAAAACAAAGGCCTGTGGTGCGATTGAATTGGGGTTTTAAGGCCGTAATTTGCAACAATAAGTTCTCACATGCAAACCAAACCAAATGACCAAGCGGATGAGATAAAAGGAATGATGGGTTGAGAAAGATCAGTATCAAACTGGAATTAGACACCCTCGTCTTGCTTCTTTGAGGCTTAGTTTAAGTATACCCAACAAAAGAAGCTGGACAGGACTTAAAAGTGCTCAAATATTAAGAAAACAAGTGGAATCAAATCAAATCTTGGTGATCCAATCAAATTATACTGGGAAAATCTTTCGTATAATATCATCTTTCTTTAAAAAAATCTTTACTATTTGAAAAATCACATGAGACCTACATGAGTTGGCAACCAACTTCTTGGGCTTGCTAGAATAAGTTTACTGTTATGGCCCTTAGGCTCAATTCAACAATTAATCAGGTTTGGACTTGCTGGGGATTTTCAAAGGGACATGGAATTGAGCCAGATTCAAATGGATTTGTGAATCTGATTGCTCGTTCATCATAAGAGCTCCCAGACAGAGCGGTAAAAATAAATAAATAAGAGCCATTCTGGATAGACCATACAAATCTAGTAAGGAATGGATCCAACTTTCCTTTCTGCCTTTCACTTCTGCATCAATTGAATCAACTGAAACACAGAAGTATATTTAGAGAAGGAACACATGATATCATATTGTAAAAATATTGTCCAATGGAACCGATAACAAAAATATTCTCCTATGGGAGATCTTCCAATTCATGATAAAAATTTTCAACTCTTCCAACCACACCCAAAGGCACCAGCAAGTGAAAATACCTAGCTCTGCCCCTGGCAACAAAGGGGTGCCAGCACTGTTGCCAGTTTGCTTGTTGACTCATGAGATCACATGAGAAATCATTATCTGCATTATGGTTCATGTATGTACATATACATGTCTATGTATATGTGCAGTTATTAGCACAGAGGAAGTAGATTCAATCAAAGCTAAAAACATAGGCAGTAGGCATTTACCTCTGCTTCAGATATTAAGTTTCTGATTTGATAGTTTATTACCTAGTAGTCATAAAATATATTAGACATTTTATATCAAAAAAATGCGTTTTATAAGACTCCTTCTATGCAATCAAATGAGGCTTCCATTAAGCTCCATTATTTCTGCAGTCTACAAATTGACCCTACAATAAAAAAGGGCAAGTATTTGTTTCCGCTTCCTTTTTTTGTCTGGTAAACATTTGTCAAGCTGGTCTGCTTCTGTAATACAGTACCGTGCCCATCGCATTAGACCAGTAGATATTAATTCGTAATACACCAATATTCATATCAACCTTCCTAAGTTTTGGATTCATTAGAAGCACCATTTTATTCAAAACGAATGAAAATCAAAACCGTTCAACATAAGTCAGAATTCGTGGACATGAAACCAAAGAACTATTTCCGTTATTTCATCTATTTACCATCCAATTCACACTTAAATAACTTAAATTGAAACCAAAAAAAAAAAAAGATAAGAAAAACCTAAGGGCAGATAATATCATAATAACCACAATAAACTCACTTGGACTTTAATGAGAACAAGTAAATTTGCAACAGAAAGAGAAAAGGAGATATAGTATTATATTAAGAAACACTCACTCAAAGCTTCCCGATGGATTTCTTCGTAAGGTATGGGGCAAGGAAGATTCAAATAGTCGATTTTCTCCGCAGTCTTGGGCTCATTTCCCTTAGCGGGTGTCATAGGAGGAGGAACAACACCTATGTGGGATGCCATTCTTTAAAATCCAAAACAGGGGAGCAATGGAGAAGAATAACGATAAACCAGGTTTTGCTCTACTTGGAACTCCTATGGAACGATTTTAGGGCAACAGAACAGAGGCAGGAGGGCTGCTGAGGGGTGGAGTATGCACATTAAGGGGAAAGAGGTAGTGTGGTGGTTCAGACTAAGCTCTTCCTGCCTGGGCTGCTGATTGCTGTTAGCGCAGTCAACTGACCGATAGAAGACGGGAAGAGACAGCAATGGAGGCCAAGCTTGGAAGGGCTGTGGCTTCAGCGCTCAGGAGGGGGTTTAGGCAGGGTTTTATCACGACAACCGGCAACCGGGCCCAAGATCAAGAATTGCATTGACTAGAGCGGGTTTAGAGTTTAGACCTTAGATCCTAGATCGGGTCGAATGCCACCCTGACCCTGACCCGGTAAGGTAACATATTGGACTTGACCAATGACTGAGTGGCGAATTTTGTCTTCCACATGACATAGTGGGCTTTTTGTTGGAAGGGAGAAGAGAAAAAATCTTCAGTTCCAGTTTTCCACCACAAAATTGTAAAACTCTACTAGTTTTTCTGTTTACCAATGTATAGTATAGGACTTTTGTCAGGTTTTGCTGGGTTTGGGCTTGCATTATATAATTTATAAAAAGTTGGGCTCCGCGAGACCCATAGTCCATGGTATGTTATAACTGGATTATTTAACAGCATCCTGCACATGGATCAAGAAGAAGAAGAAGATCAAATATGGCAGAGTATCAAGAGAGGATTGTTGGATCGATCAGGGGAATTGTAGTAGTACTGTATCAAGTTTGAACAACCTTGAGCTTGGTTCATTTCGTCTGGTAGAAGCTTTCCAACTGACTTTAATTCTCCGGAACCATCTTTCAATTATTTCTCTCTCTCTCACTCAACTTTATTTAATTTGCTATCGTAGAATCTCCTTGCATGCATGTGTTCTTTTCAGTAGGTATTACATCTTAATCTTTGTATATATTCTTGTAATTAATTAACTAAATCTTACTGTAACGCTTTCCCTAAATCTGTCTTAATCCGAACTTAAACTCCTTCGCGTTTAATTGTAGTCTATTTAACCCATGTTAAGTGTTAACCTAACCTCTTAGCTTTCACTTCATTTCGTTTTAATCAACGGTCTTAGGGCTGTGTGCAGCACTGCACTGGTGTTTCCCATAAGTGTTCAAGTTATTGCAGAAGAGGGTGGTTGTCCGGTTGATAGAACTGATAACTCGAGTAGAAGGAGAAACTACTCTGATTCATTCTTTTTCTTCTTATCTTTTTCCTTTGCAAAGAATGAGTTATATATATACACCTCTCCTAGTTACACACAAGCTATTATGATAAGAATTATCCCTGAATTAAGGGATATTCTCCTAGTTTAAAGCTCACGGCAATACTCCCCCTCACGTTGGTGCGTACAAATCTTGGATGCCCAACTTGCCAAGTGAATTGTAGAAGTTTTTACTGAATACAGCTTTTGTAAGTATATTTGCCAACTAACTGGTCTTCAGACTTGACAAAGGGAAATCGAATGATTCTATCTTCGATATTTTGTTTGATGAAATGCTGGTCCACCTCCACATGCTTTGTTCGATCATGTTGGACGGAATTCTGAGAGATGTCTATGGCAGCCTTGTTATCACAGAATAAGTCCATTTCAGAGGTTGGGGGGAAACCAATTTCAGTCATCAATCTTCTAAGCCAGAGTAGCTCGCAAAGCCCTTTAGCCATTCCTCGAAACTCAGCTTCAGCACTTGATAGGGCCACCACCTTTTGTTTTTTACTCCTCCACGTGACCAGATTCCCATCGACAAATGTAAAGTACCCCGAGGTGGATTTTCTATCTGAGATATTTCCGGCCCAATCTGCATTTGTATAGCCTTCTATCTTTAGATGATTATTTTTTTAGAACATAAGTCCTTTTCCAGAAGAGGACTTCAAGTATCGAACAATTCGCATTACAGCATTCATGTGATCTTCGCTTGGGCAATGCATGAACTGACTTACTACGCTGATAGCGTAGGCGATGTCTGGGACGAGTATGTGAGAGGTAAATAAGTTTACCAACCAACCTTTGATATCTCTCCTTATTGGTAAGTACTTGGTTTGGGTATTCTCTAAGTTTATGGTTTTGAACAATTGGTGTGTCTGCTGGCTTGCACTCTAACTATCCCACTTTGGAGAGCAAATCCAATGTGTATTTCCGTTGAGACAGAAATATACCTTCCCTTGATCTAGCAACTTCAATTCCTAGAAAATACTTGAGCCCGCCTAAGTTCTTCATTTCAAACTCAGTTGCCAATTGCTTTTGCAATGTTGCTATTTCTCCTGAATCATTCCCTGTGATAATCATATCATCCACGTATATTATTAGAGCTATCACCCTCCCTCGTTGGTGCTTCAGAAATAGTGTATGGTCTGAATTGCTTTGTTGGAAGCCATATTTCCTCATCGCAAGACTAAACCGCCCAAACCATGCCCACAGTGATTGTTTTAGTCCATATAGTGCTCGTTGTAGCTTACACACAACTTGGTTCTTGGAATTCGCTGTATAACCAGGTGGGATGTCCATGTATACCTCCTCCTCAAGATCACCATGGAGGAAGGCGTTTTTTACATCAAACTGGTGCAGTGGCCAATCAAGGTTTGCTGCAAGAGATAATAAAACTCTGATTGTATTCAACTTGGCCACTGGTGAGAAGGTCTCTTGATAATCTACGCCCTGTGTCTGGTATAACCTTTTGCGACCAACCTCGCTTTGTATCTCTCGATTGTCCCGTCCGCCTTGTATTTAACAAAAAATACCCTCTTACACCCTACAAGTCTTTTCCCTTCGGGCAAGGTAACCAGAGTCCATGTTTTGTTCTTCAATAGTGCCTCCATCTCTTCTTGTATGGCCTGAGTCCATTTCGGGTTTGTCAAAGCTTCTTGAACACTAGCGGGAATATGATTTGAGGACAATTCTTGCACAAATGTTTTTAGAGGTTTGGAGAATCTCCTTGTTGATACATAATTGGCAATTGTATACTTTGACCTCCGATCCTCAACATCTGGAGAATATCTATTTGGCGGTTTGTCACGATTATGCCTGAAAGGTAAAGTGTAACCAACCGAAGTATTCATATCGTTAGAGCTTGAAAGTGTGGTAGGAGAGATTACCTCAGGGATGCTCTCACGCGCCTCCGGGATATCCTCAGGAGGTGGGCCTTCCGGTACTGGGGAGGTTGGGGTTTCTATTTCTTCTGCTGGGAGAGGCAATGTAGACGTTGGGGTCTCTGTAGATGTCTCTGGTGCTGTCTCTATAGGTGTCTTACCAGTTGCTTCATTGACCACCATCTCTGTTGAAGCACTCGTATTCAGTCAGTCGAGTAAAAACTAGTTCTGTTCTTCACTCTGGCTCTCCCCCTGAAGAGAAGAATTGGTTTTGGAAGGAGAGTAGAATGTTTCAGATTCCATAAAGGTAACATCCATGGTAACATAGGTGTGGTGGGTGACTGGGTCATAGCATCAGTACCCTTTCTGGTGTAGCGCATACCCCAAAAATAAGCATCTAGTTACTCGTGAATCTAGTTTTGTGCGTTGATTTTTATGTAGATGCACGAACGCCACACAGCCAAAAACTTGAGGTGGAATCATCAAAACGGATGGCAATGAGACATGTGATGAAAGAACTTGTAATGGTGTTTTAAACTGCAAGACCCGTGATGGCATTGGGTTAAGGAGGTGCACGGCGGTAGCAACAGCATCAGCCCAATGTCGGTTAGGTACATGTGCTCCAAGTAACAGAGCGCGAGCAGTTTCGAGTATGTGCCGGTTCTTCCTCTTAGCAATGCCATTTTGCTGTGGAGTCTGTGGGCATGAAATTTCATGAAGTAACCCATGAATCCGGAAATAATCTTGGAACCGTTGATTCATGTATTCTCCGCCATTATCAGACCTGAGTACCAGGATCTGTGATGTGAACTGAGTCTTCACCATCATATGGAAAGATTGAAATACAGTCAACACTTCATCTTTATGTTTCAGCAGATATAACAATGTCATGCGAGTGCAGTCATCAACAAAGATTACAAACCAGAGAAATCCAGACACTGTAGTTACCAGGGATGGCCCCCACACATCCGAGTGAATCAAAGCAAATGGAACTCTACTTTTATTCATACTTAAGGGATTGATAGTTCTATGACTCTTAGCTAAGATGCAAGTGTTACACTGAAAATCATAAGGCTGTATATCTGTAAATAACTCCGGAAATAAATGTTTCATGTAACCGAATGATGGATGTCCTAACCGGCGATGCCAAATCCAAATCTGTTGTTCTTTGGTGTTACTTTGATGATGTGCATGATGTGCTTGACCCGTGCTGAGATCATCCATGTAGTAGAGCCCCCCCCCCCCCCTCCTAGTACCACGCCCAAGGATATTGCAGGTGACAAGGTCACAGTGCCTGCTCCTGTGACTTGAGAGATAGTCCCATTGGCATTAGTAATTGTAATCCGTCTTGGTGGTGAAGTCTTTGAAAAATCAGTAGCATCATAAGTCATGTGGTCAGTAGCCCCTGAGTCAAATATTCATGCATTGTTATCAATAGTTTTGTTGGGAAGATTGTTACCTGAATCCGAGAGGTGTACGTCTCCCTGTGGTATGAATGAGAATTGAGATTCTGTTGTAACCATTGCAGCCTTACCACTAGTTTCAACCTTGCCTTGACGTTTCCGAGCTTGGAGTTCATGCCACCAGTCGGGATAGCCATGTAGCTTGAAGCAATTCTCTCGGGTATGCTTTGAGTTACCACAATGAGAACACTTAGTTCCACTAGAAGATGTTCGAGATTTAGAGGACGTACCGGATTTTCCGTTGCTTAAAGGCAGAGAACCCGTTGAGGAGGGCGTAGGTTGCCTAGTTTTAACACCTCTAGAGGCCAAAACAGCTCCTGGAGTTTCAATATTGTTACCAGTGATCATGACCCTCTGTCGGATAGCTTCTCTCTGAACATGTGTGTATGCTTGTTCAATAGTGGGGAACGGATGCATTTGGAGTACATCTGCCCGAATCTTGTCTAGTCTGTCATCAAGGCCATCCAAGAAGATATACACTCTCTCTTCTTGAAGAAGAGTATTGTACCATTGAATATCCGCCACACACTCCATCGGATTTGGACGGCAAAAATCAATTTCTCGCCACAAACCTTGGAGATTATTATAATACTTTTCAAGAGACCCTCTAGACTGGCGCAAGCGGGTCACACGGCGCCGGAGATCGTATACTTGCAAGGTATCACTGCCATCAAAGTACGTAGTAGCAACAGAATC